TTTTTTTTTTTTTTTTTTTTTTTTTGTCTGTCGCAAAATGAAGAACATAGCACGGAACACGAGTTGCAGAGACACAACATCCCTGAATTCCAAGCAGTTGGCTGCTTCAGGGACCGTGGTAGGAGTCCCCGGCCACTCCCCAAGCTGATCGCTAATTTTCGAGGTCATATCGACTGGTTTAATTTGAATAACACCATAGCCGATTGTGCTCGTAGGGTTAGCGAGAAAGGTCTCAGGTATTTTGGTCTTCAATTCTATGGCGAATGTTGGAGCGGACTGAATGCCCACCGCACGTATAACAAACAAGGAACCTCCACCAGATGCATTTATGGAGTGGGAAGAAAAATGGCAAATTTTGTTTATGCCTTCGTAAAGAGAGGTACATTTTGCTTCATTTTTTATAAGCCAAAGTAGGCACGGAAGACACTGTATTAGAAACCTCAACATTTGACTAAACACAAACGAAAGAGAAGTAGTGGCGATTTGATCAGCCGCTATCGAACATCATGGACTTTACACAACAGAGAATTGACTGGATGGGACTCTGCTTAGTGCTTCAGGTCTTACAGTACGAACTGTTTACAACAAAACTGGTACGCTAACTTAGAGCAAACTTCTCTCAAGCACTACCCGATCTGACATGCGACTTATTCCCGAAATAAGCAGAATCGACCAATCACTGTTGACGAGCTTCGCGTATAGTGTTGTAGCGAGGACCAAAGCTGAACAATATGTTTCAACGGACCAGACTTGACAACCGACGAACATTGTTTCACGTGACTTTAAGAATAATGTTGATTCAAGTTGCGAAGCGTCGGTGAGAACTGAATAGGCTTAATATCAATGATGAAAGTGATTTTTTTAAAAAAATAATTCCCCAGTTTCTTTCATTTTAGATATGACAGTACGTCTTGTAAACGGCTCAGACTCGAGAAGGGGCCGAGTAGAAGTGCTACATCTAGGGAGTTGGGGCACAGTCTGCGACCATGCGTGGGACATGCGTGATGCGAATGTTGTGTGTCGTATGTTAGGCTACCCAGGTGCCCTAGCTGCGTATCGAGGTGCTAAGTATGGGCCTGGAAAAGGACGTGTCCGACTTGGTGATGTTAGATGCAAAGGCAGCGAAACGAATATAGCACTTTGTTCTCACAAAGATTACAGCGACTGTAGTCACTCAAACGACGCTGGCGCTGCATGCCGAGCGGCTTCAGTTGAGCCACAGCCAAGGATACCATGTAAATAAACATGCAATCTTTGATAAACTGTTAAACAGCCTGATTCTAAGGCTTTCTGCTTGTGTTACCAAGCTACAAGTAATAATGGCTGGGACACCTCTTGTACTCTCCCCTCCCCACCCGTTTGTCATTAATCCTCCCTTGAAAATTGCAAAGGTGCCGCTTTTTCAAAGTAAGGGAAATCAAAAATAAAATTTTATGTATTTTTGAAAATTTTAAAAATAGAGAGGACGAATATCCGAGTTTTAAATACGTACCGTACGTACTGCCACTCCAAACCTCAATCCTTACAATAGGGGTTGCGACTGAAGTCATTTATTATGTCATTTTTTTAATGATCTTCCAGACCGTTTGGTGGGTGGAGCAAGCCGCAATGAAGGCCGAGTAGAAGTGTTTTATGCTCGTCAGTGGGGAACAATTTGCGATAAAGGCTGGGATCTCACAGATGCAAGAGTTTTGTGTCGGAATCTAGGTTTCATCGATGCCTTGACAACCCCCAAATATGCAGAAGGCACTGGTCGTATATGGCTTAGCAATGTCAATTGTCAAGCAAGCGATGATTCAATATTCCGATGCAAGCACGCTGGTTGGGGAAACACTGGTAACTGCACACATTCAAATGACGCTGGAGTCAAGTGTCATTACTGACGGACAAGCTTTTATTTTCACTTATTTTACTTAATTCATTTTTAATAAATGTCGACTTTACACGCTCAAAGCTCAAATAAGGCATTAATTTACAGTATGATTCAAATGAAACGCGGTGATCCCTTTTTCCTTCATCGATGGAGGCTCCTTGGGGCTTTAACAGCCATAGAAATTTCACTGAAAAGAGCAAAAATTAACTTATTAAACCGAATAATCATGTAGATAAAGCCACACAATCCGTTACATTTTACCCATAAATTGTTAAGTTTAGTAGAAGGCCAGTTATTTATTTCACTGAGTGCTTGCATACAATAAGATCGTTTGGACTAGCTGTCAAACACGTGCATCAGTAGAGAATCCCAGAACATCACGTGCCTATACAGTTCAAACAATGTTGTGTATTCGCCTAGGAAAAATAGCACAAATTTGTTAAAAAAATTAATTAACAATAGTATCGCAGATTATTTGACTCTTCAGAGTGGCCATGGTTCCCTTCTTCCAGAAAGACCCGGTCCTTAAAAATTTTCCAGATTTAAAATTCAGCTCGTGAGAGAATTGCATTCAGAAAGAGATATTCTTCACCGAAGCTGTATCATTTGAACAATTACGAGCGAACTGTCCATTTTACGCATTGAAAATCAAGAACAACAGGGAAAAAGGAAAGGCACTTGATTCTGGCTTCTCCGCTACTACAAATAAATATAATGCTTCAGACTGTAGTGGGTGGTTAAACAATCAGATTGCATGCTCACCCAAATTATTTTGCGTGTAATAGCATAAAGGAGCTCAATCACGATACTTTGAGTTATTTCGACCACGTACAAAATACCTTAAAATTGAAGGAAATATGAAAATAGTAGTTTGCTGAGATGGAAAAACTAAAGTGCCAAGGAGATAATAATAAAACATAAAGAAACCAGGATGGTTAAGAATGGAGAAGATTGACACGGATTACAAACGACGAACTTGATAAATTTAGACTAAACTTTTCAAGATGTACAAACCGTGGGGTATAGCTCCTTTAAAAATAGTCCAACGAGAGCTTGGTACTGTAACGAATCAATGATACTTAACTTGCAAAATTACCAGACAGATGAAATTCTAATTGTCATACATACGAAATGCTCAAAAAGGAATTGAAAGACATGAAGAGTTTACCTAGGTCTCGGAACAAAAACGCATTGGACATCCTTTCGTCTTTACCAGCTTGTAGACGAAGAACCTACCACAGTTTCGAACCTGGATTCTCTGAGAAAACTGACAACAATTCGATTCATTTTTCCAGTTGAAGCAGACCGTGCCATCAACAATCCCGTCAGTCATTTTGGGGTGGGAGGATGACAGCCAGCCGGTGACTGCAGTTCCACATCTCCTGCTCGGAACACATTCGGAAGCCATCCGATTTCCGGCGGGAGGAAGAAACCGGTACCATCCCGTTGCAAGCTGCTTATCACACAATGCGGTAGAGCCTGTCATGATGGAGGCGGCTCGATCATCTGTGTCCAGTTTAGAATAGATTTTGCACTCTTGTTCTGAACAAGAAAAACAGAATTGCTTGATTGTTAGTTAAATTAACGATACTAGCAAACACGTCATAAATTTTAACTATACTGACCATCTCCTGCTAATCTGTACACCATATTGGTGTTTTCTTTGCCAACATGACTGGTACATCTAGAAGATCTCCCATAGCGGTCATATGTCTGTTGGGCAATTTCTCCACTCCAGCATTCTCCGTAAAACTGGACGCTACAGGAACGCACATATTATTAGTAATGCTTTTTTCCGTGAAACTCCCAAATCTCAAGAAGCAATTCGTTTCAATTGATTCAACATGAAACTCAACTTCATTGATGACCAGAATAGATCACAACCAACCCTAAACCAAAGTGGTGATAGCCCTAAAGTCTGGTACCCATACCTGGACCAAAATGCGACGGTTTACCTCGGTTGATAAGGCGCAAACAAACGACAATAACACAACTAACCCCATGTAGACTGAAGCCCTTCGCAATTTCATTGTGGTCAAACCCACTTCCCCTTATAAACGTCTCAAATTTTCAAAATCCTCTAATTGCATACAAAATTTTAAACGGTCGCGAAGCTATACGCTGCGAATGATTAAGTCGAGTATTTAGTTATTGCTATCTACCTAGTTTATCGATCGGCTGCAAATAAAGATTTATTACACAGCTTTAATTACCTGAAATACACGTAATTCTTCTTCTTCGCCTCCTGGGCACATTTCTTGACAATATAACTTAAATCAGTGTTCCAGGCTATATTTCCACGATAGTTAGCCAGCAGTTTTGGCAGAGCTCTTTGTCGAAATGTATCTTTAAAGCAACCCACTGGAACATACTCGGCTGCAGCTATAGGGAAATAAAAACTTAAGCGATAAAAAATCCTAGAGGAAAATTCGAAATCCTTAACACAATCAACTTAAATATACTGAGATGATGCTAACAATAAAAAATTATTATTATTGCTGAAGAATAAATTGTGTGTCCATGCAACAGTTGCCATACGAGCTTGGGACAACTATCTTCTCCACCAAATACAAAGCGTACACGCGCGTTTCCGCACTGTTTTAATATGCAAGCGTTTTTCCCACGCTAAAACGCAAATGCGCTCCTCGAAAACACCACAACCATCATTTGCGCATGCGACAAATAGAGCAATGACATCAGCGTTTACAAAAACGTCCCTTTTCGCTCGACTAGTTAGTGCCGTCTTACGGTCTTTGTTTTTAATATTTCCATCCTGGACATCGTTTTCAATGTGGCGTTTTCGATGTAAAACACGAGCATTGGTTTTCTTCTGTTATATTAGGAGCACTAAACTCCAGAGCCGGGTTGTTCGAAAGCCGTATAACGTTAACCTAGGATTTAAGTTAACCGAAGAATTAATTTTTCTTGTATAACAATGTTTTTCAATGTTTATGTTTTTCAATGCTTATTCTTATGCTTTCGTGTAGTTCGAGATTATTCAAACTCAAAACTGAATAATCAACAAAATAAACAGAAAACATCACCGAAAAGCTGCAAACTGAAATAAAAATTCTCGCTAATCGTCGATTAGCTGAATTGGGCTTTAAACAACTTTGGCAAAACAAAATTGGTGGTGTCGTTCTTAAGAAAGTTTAAGACAATAATTGTAAAGAGCAACCTGCAAGATACGTACACAACTCTCTTGGTGATTAAGTTTGACAACTGAAGAGAAATTTGATCAGAGCAGCTTGAACTTCCGCCTATTACTTTTAGTTTGGTACTGACGCACAAACATCTAGTCACATCTTCTTTAAATATTTGTCCTCTGCATGTCAAATTTGGTGAGTTTTATTAAGAAGCGAATTTATTCTGCCCTGTTGTTTGGTATTCAGTTCGGTATACACAGTAACACTTGCGCCGATCTGGTTTCTAAAAACAAAAACGTATGTAAAGATTCCTTTTTCAGGTATTCCAATGGGTTAGTGATGATCTTTCCTTGAAAACTGTTTATGCGTACCTACTATGGTAAATCCAGGCGCCCGAGCGACAATTTTTGCGCTTTTTGTATTTGAAAAAAAATGTATACGCTTTTCGAACTTGGATCAAGCCCGAGAAGACAACTTGAGACCGGCATCCGAGAAAGTTAATTAATCATGATTCCCACCTCTGATCAAAAGAGGCCATTGTGATGTAAGGTAATTAAGGAGCTCGTAATTTTCTTTAGTTGACTCCTTAACATTACCTAGCTACAACTGACATCAGGTCGACATGCTTATCTTATCAAACCATCCATGTTAGGAACTTCTTTTAACAACATATCTGAAATGTGTTTCCGATATACAGATTAACATCACCATTGAAACTTGCAGCGCGTGACGAGAATTCATTTACGCAAAATGAAAAAGGAAGTCTTCTTCTCTTTTAATTGAATAGTCTCATTTATTGTACACCTGCCAACGTGCGAAGAAGACTTTGAAGTTACAGTTTTCACACTTTTTATCCGGCTTGGACGAATAAAAAATTAAAAACAGCGCAGTTACCGCACACAATTGCTATAATGCTTACATTTGCCCGATTACAGATTCACTGATAAACAGCAGAGATACACAAAACTTGCGGAGACATTTATCAAGCATCAGATCCTCTTCCAACCTATGCAAGGTTTTACTAATAACTTTACATTTCACTGATCTTAAAAGGTGACTCTTCAGATACCATATCTTTTGTCAAGAGTTTTCTGAGCTTAAAAGGGGTGTCGTCCTAATAGCTCAAACTTTGCTGTTTGAAATTACTGTGAGAATAAGAACAACGGAGGACGAGCAATTCTTAACGAGAATCTCAACGGGCCAAATAATTTCAAGGAAAGAGCATACAAGAATATTGCTGAAAATTGTACAAGGCGTGGCTAATCTTTAGTAGTACCCGATAAAAACACACTCGGATGTCTTCCTGCATCTAAACAGAATGCATTTAGTACTAATAATTAAGTTTTACGCATTTTCTTTTGTCCGTGTCCGAAATTTAAATGAGTCGTATGGAACAAATGTGTTTTTACAAACCTGTAGAGCTGGTAGGATATCCCAAACAAAAGAGGATGGCGACAAGAACAATCAAAATGTTCTTCATTCTTGTTTGAGGTTGTGAACCCTCTAACAGTGAGGAGAGAAATAAAATAATAGCGTCAGGTGTCCAAATTTTGGGTTTAATCATGACGTGTCAGCTGTCCCTGAGTGTCCGGTAACTTTGTGAAAATTATCAGTTGTATTGGCTTCTGATTCCTTTTCTATTTCATCCAAAGTCCTTTTCCTCCGCTGATTCAGCAATTATCACTGACAATGAAAGTGTGATATCACACTCTTCACGGTTCGAACGATTTTGCTCTGAGCTGTCGGAACTCTAGAACATCCTATCTTTTTTTTAATCGTTGCAACAACCGAGCATTAACCTACAGGAAGGAAATTTGAGACGCGTGTGCGCCTGTACGAAGGCTAACCAAGTATTTGCTAGACGCGCGCCCCAGTCCTACGCGGATTTTCAGCGGGTTTCAATGAATGCCCTAGATATATTCATGTCTTTACGAATTATTTTCTGAATATAAAAAGTTCTGTTCTTGATGAATGGAATGACTCTTTCAGATGAGAAGGTTGTATAGAGTAACCGATTTTAGGCGTTATTTTACTGCTATATTATCAACGTTGCATGTAATGTTTTAGCGTATTGACCAAATGCACAAAAAAGTGTGTTTCGACCGTTTACCTCCTTGCTAAAACAATAAACATTGTTCTCAGTTCCACTTTGACAGTGAACGGCGAATAAATTCATTTTTGTTTCCGCTTTTCTTTTCTTGCTAGTTCAGTTTTCGGTTCTCGTTCGAAGACTCTTAACGAAATGCTATGTCTTAGTTTACTTTGTGGTAGGCGTTTCAAAGAACAGGTTAACTGTTTGATGCATGTGTTTAGCCAATATTTAGATAGCTTGGTTGAAAGATCAAGCAGAAATGAGCGCCAATCACCGAAAGTTTTATTTTTCTGTAAAATATGATTCGATATCTGATCATAACAGCGTTTCGGCTTCGGATAACAGAAATAATCGTTTGATATTATCTTTTATTATATGGAGAAGAGTGTTTTACTGGGAACTAAACCACTCGTAGATTCCATACGCCACTTCATTCGGGACCCGAGTGGCGTATTTTCCGTATGTCACCTTTGTGAGTGTCGNAGAACATAAAATTTATATCTTCTCGCCACCGTATAATATCCTCTATATACTATATTCCATACCGAGTCAATCTTAAAAATAGCAAAACCTTTCATCGTGTGACTTTTATCCTTTGAACGTCTGCATTCTGCCTAAACACGACACTGAGAGATTGTATGGTCTAACCCTCAAAGATCTAATTTCATCCTGACAGCTAACACTCCCTTCACTTCGAGGCATCATCATTTTTGAATGTTTCTTTGGGCATGGGTACAAAGCAACTAGTTACAGCTTTTTGTTTCTCCCTTTCTCTTTCTGTCTCCCGCCTTTCTTATGTTGTTGTGAGCTTTCATTCGCCTGTGGTCGCGTTGGAAAAGTAAACAATCAAACAAAAACGTCAGTTGCAGGGAAGATCTTTTTTTGTTTTTTTGATTTTTACAAGAAAAATAAAAATTGGTTTTGCGTGTTTGTGTGGCGCAGTTCGTTTCTTACAGATTTAGCTCATTACTAAAGCATCTTCCGTTGTAATCTGATTATCAGATTATCAAACACGAAAAAAGTTTTTAAAGCCAAGGGACAGTTGTTTTGGATGTACTAAATACAGTTTAGGTTCTTGAATTGAACAAATATTTAATCAAATAAGGACCTGGACACAAAAATCGTTTTATTCACCCACTAGAAACGAAAGCCTTTTTCATTTTATCATTTTAATATCTTAAATACAATTGAATTATTACATCGTAATTTAACTTAAATTTGAGTATCCTTTTTCCTCTGTTGACGCTCCTTGGTCTTTCTTAACCTAGTAAATTACCCTGCAAATATAAAAGAAATTATGACACATTTAAACGAACGTAATCTTCTGGGTTTTCTAGTAATTCAATTATGCTATTAAGTTTTTAGATAACGAATATATATAAAAGCACTAATATTCTCGATATATGGTCGAGTTGCTCTCGAGAGTGCTTGATAGGAATGGAGCTTTGTCTAAAGAGAGTGGACTGGTTCTCGTTCAGTTTTTTTCAATCGACAGAAATGTTTCGTGGGAGTGTTTCCCACTCGTTAGGATCTAGATGACAAAGTTAATTAGTTGGTTTGTATAGAGCTCCCTTGACGTCACACGTGCTTTCACAATACTAGGTGTTTTTCTGTAAGAATTTGTTTGCGTGCCTGCGAGTGTTCGCAAGTTCTGATCTTTTGTTGCTAGTGGCTAGTTTTTGTGTCTAAGGTGCACAATTTGCATCTTTTAGTTGCGTTGAAGTATGACTGCGCCCTGTCCAGGATTTTCTATCTGATCGTTCACCTTGGCTTTCTTTAACTTCCATATATGTTTGCTGAGTTCAGTTTGGCTGCTGAATGCTGAGGAGTGCCGGTTAAAGAACCAGTGCCTCACAAGGGGCATCCTATACCAAGCCACCGTAACAACAGAACAGGGGAACAAATGCTACGGTGGGATTGGCCGACACAAATTTAAGTCTAGATACACCAACTATAAACAATCGTTTGGAAAGGAAGCATTCCGCTTTTTTCTCCAGTTAAATTTAACAAACTATACCCAATAAGCATACCCAAGATTGTAGAAATTACCTACGCAATATATCAAGAACTTTGGAAGAGACGATTGTGCAAGGCATACGTCGGGAAAAAAGTCAACAACGCGCCAGGGGTTAATTTGCGAACAAATTTTGCTCCTGGACGTACTCCCTCCTTCTCCCCCAGAGTAATAGCCTGACTTGAGCCTGCGATCCAATCGAAAACCAGTACACGGTCACCGGCCAACTGCAAAAATCACGCGACCTCGATTAGCTCTAAACCTGAGCCCGCGATACTGGTCAGCGGATACCTTGTTACTATGGCAGTGTTAAGTGACGTGGAGAAACAGTTGATACGCGGCGAATTTCTACCAGTGACGAATTTCTACCTTTGAAAGATGGCCTGAAAACCTTGCAAGGTGGAGGTGAGGGTGATTTCCGACCCCCATTGTACGTCCAGGAGGTAACATTTTAACCCTTAATATTACATAGTCAGTGACGAACCGCATTGAAATGAATAAGCTGACGAGTTGAAACGTATAATAGATAAACAGCGATATAAAAACTATGCAGCTTACCTGGTCTCGATGAAGTTATCCCACAGAAGCCCATAGGACAAGCAAATGTTTTTCCTAGTTTATAAACATAGAACCTTCCACAGTTTCGTAGATGGATGTTTTGAGACCATTGACAGCAGTTTGATCCCCAGCGGAAGCAGACTTTGCCACTAATAATCCCATCAGCCGTTCTGGGATGAGCCGTTTCTAACCAACCAGTGACCACGGTTCCACATTTTCCAGACGGAAGACACGTGGATGCCATTTTATCGCCCGCGGGATTAGAGAAGCGGTACCATCCAGATGGGAGACCATCGTCACAAGATGGCGTGCTTCCTATGGGCAGCTGATAAGTAGAGGAGCGACTAGCTGAACTAAGTGTGGCGTAGTTTAAACACTCTTTTTCTGAATTGAAAAAAAAAATACATATATACAGTGCTTGATTGTTAGTGAGAATCGATGGTAACTAGAATCAAAGGTAAACAGGCCACAAGTATTAACAATTTTACTGACTGACCATCTCCTACAAATCTGTAGACCATGTTAGCAAACTCTCCACCAACGGTTGCGGTGCATCGAGTAGATTTTCCGTAGCGGTCATACGTCATAGGGGCAGTATCTCCACTCCAACATTCCCCATAAAACTGGACACTACAGACACAAAGTTTATTTTTTATTGGGAAAAGAAATAGTCTTCAGGCAAGAGAACAAAATAAAGCACTGAAAGCAATACGTAAATTTCTGAATTTATGCTAACTTTATTACTATGTCAAATAGCATGGTGATGGATTCAGAAACATTATGCCATGCACATTGGTTAAGCATCCTTTTTTGGGTTTTTTTTTGGAGGGGGGGGGGGGGGGGGGGGGGTGGTGGGGGGGGGGTGGGGGAATTGCTCCAGGACAAGAGACGAGTATCTTGCTCAAGCCTATTAACTTTAGATTTAATTTTAAAGTAGTCACTTAATTGTTTACCTAAAATACATATGATTCTTCTTCTTCGCCTCTTGCGCACATTTCCTGACAATGTAATTTAAATCAGTGTTCCAATCTATTGTTCCACGATAGCTGACCAGTAGTTTTGGCAGAGCTCTTTGTCGAGACATATCTTTAAAGCAACCAACTTGAACAAACTCAGGTGCAGCTAAAGGGAAATAAAAACGTAAGTGATCAAAAAATGCTGTAGGAAAGTTTGACCCTAGAAGGCAGAAAAAACCCTTCGAGACCAGCTTATTATTCTGAAGTACGTACCCAGTTTGCAAAGTTATTTTTACTATAGGGTAATGTATCTAGGACATTATTAAAAACGGGATCATTGGATAATGCAATTCAAGAGCCTTTTTTGGCTTAACCATCATGGTACTGTGTGAGTCATTATACCGCGCTCTACAAAGGTGGTAAGCGTACGCCTGATTTTTTGGGACTTTTTTATTCTTATTTTATATTAGTTTTTCATATTTTGGGGGCGTTTTTCAATAAAACAGTTATTTCACTTGAGCTTGTTGGATATGTGATGGCTTTATCCAACTCATATCCAATGCGCGCTCGTGGAATTATGGTTAAATATATCAACTGCACAGTCGTTTAATTACCTACGCCCTCTCTACCGTGCATTATGAAAGGCTCTACAAATATATACCCCTTAAAGGGACACTGTCACGATATATTTGCTTAAAACTGTTATAAATTCACGAAATGGTCCTTAACTTTTTGTAATAAGAACGTAGTTAGCTCTAACTAAATCATTAAAAGCAATTTCTTGAAGAAAGTCCACACTGGAGCAAAATGTTTGCAAAATTTAATCAACGATTTTATTTTCAAGCCAAACTTGTTTTTAATCCATGTCACAATTCGGTTCCATCCTCTCTTCCTCATGGGTTCTAATCATTTGCCGAGTACTGCTCTACAAAATAAAGCCATTATTGTTCAGCTTTCAATGATTGATATATGTTTTTGAGATTTTCAAAATCATGCTAAAAATTATGATAGTGTCCCTTTAAACAGTTCATCCAAATATCACGTCAAGAATAATGTTTTTACTGTTTTGCAATTGCCAGTAGAGCAAGTTAATCGCATCCTACATATTCTCTCTGAAGACCCAAAAAATTGTTTTCCAGGAGCCACTGTCATACTACATATCGCTCTTATCATCGCTCTTTTATTGCCACGCATTCTGCAGCTGAGATTCAGAGTAGGCAGTGCGCTTATCAATTTGCAGTGATCGCGTTCATTTACTGACGTGTTGTGTTTACGGAAGAATGATAAGTGCAGTAGCCGATTTATGAACACAGAAGACCGGAGCAAACTTGTCTAAACGTATTTGTTCAGTGAATTAGTATTATGGGCGAATCTTGTCGTCTTTTTGTGTCTGATTAGCATACTATGCCATGCAGTTACTGGATTTTTTTGTTTCGGTTATTTGGAAACTTTCGGTTGATTCGAAGATCCATAAATCCCTTATGGAGCCAATATCTTTTCAACAAATCTACAATCGTAATCAAACCGTTTTCTCATATCACATAACAAAATTAGCATTCGTTGTTTGACTTGTTTTGAATTGATCATATATTTTTTCAAAACAATACTTAGCCAAAATTGATATCAATGAATCAACATCCTTAACTTCCTAAAACAAAAACATTACACACTCGTGAGAATATCTCTAAAATGTCCTCCTTATGTGTCATTCATCATCACTATTCAAACTTACTAGAGCACGTCTGGGATGCATTCAGCCACGAGTTTATTAAACGATGAACCCAAACGCAAATATTAAAAAAGTGCACTGCTTGACTTTTCTTTAATTGGATAAATTAACATGTATTAGTTCGATTTCTAAGGTTTAAAACACTGAAACAGACCTTATCGGTAACGCATAAGGACACTTTTTAAGCATATACCTGTAGACCCTTTGCTTATTGTAGAAAAACTTTCCTTTGGGACAGAATTATATTTGTGAGCCACAGCTGTGAGTGGGCTATATCTTCAAATTTATTCAAGGTTCCTGTATGACACGTTAAGGTTTTCTTCTCTTGCTGCGTGCGCTTTTCTGTAATGTTCTAAACGCGATTATTCGGTCTAGGCCGGGCCGAGATTAAGTTAACTTGACCATGTGAAAAAAGAAACACAAATAAACTAACGGGAAACTTCGGCACATTACTCATAATTAGTAAGGCTTTTTCTAAACTTGGATCCTCAGTCAAAAGAACAAAGAGGAAGCCGGAACCATTGCGAGTCCCTTTTAGCGATGTTTATCGTCCAAAAGACAGAAAATTAAATTGTTTCCGAGGCAAGATAATTTTTGCCATTCATGCTGACTCAAGTGTCGTAATTCTGTCATTGTCATAACAAGTAAGTGATATTTCCTCTTTTACACCAAGGTTTGAAAGGTTGGGCCAAAATTCTACACTGTAAGCCCATAACTCGGAAACAAGATTATTTCACAAACCTGTCGAGCTGGTGGGGAATCCGAGACAAAATAACGAGGCAAGAACGAAGAGTGGCCAATTCATTCTGGTTGATGTTATGGAGTGAAGCTCGAGGGAAGTGAAATGTGAACGACAGGTGTCGATTCAGGCTCCGCTTTGTGATGTGGCCGTCGTGAATGAATAACTTGTCAGCAGCTGTCTGTAGACCTAGTGAAAATAATAAAAGTGATTGACTGACTGTGTCCGACAACAATACGCCTTTCCGTCGGTGGATCAACATTATATCCTAATATTGGAAGCAAGGGATTTTTTTAAATATTATTTTTATAACATTAGAAACCAAAGTACCATGTGATGTTTCAATGATTTCGACTTTAGATATTGGATTCCTACATAAGTTCTTTTTTCAAAGTTGTCATTAATATTCTGCAATTAATATCTCAATACATAACTTTTAACACAAAGACATCATACCACAGACCATACGGCTGATCTTAGTTTACAATTGAACATGGTTATAAAGAAAAACTAGATTTTGCGATTTTCTACACATTTAAAACAGTAAATTAAAGTGAATTTTAGCAAATCGAGGGACATCTTGCTATTTTTCGACATAGCTCTGGTGCATCATTAGACTTCTGACATTTGCCTTTGTTTTAACTGCTTAAGCACTTACTAGAAATACACGATTGAGTCATAAATTAACTAAGCAATTATAAAAAGAGCCCTGCAGAACATTCAAGCTCTAACCAATAACTAGCTGAAATATTGAATTCAGTAAACCTTAATTTTTCTAGGTGCCGTCGCGCACATTGCGAATTTTGAAAACTAAACCATGTGTTTTTTGTATGGCTAGCAAATAAAATTCTTATTAGCCTTAGGATGCTTTGTTTTGTCAAGAAGCGTGAAATAATGGACTGGAATCGTTATAATGTTTTAACTGAGTAGTAGAAAACGTACCTATGACTAAGACTCTAACCGAAAGGCCGATCTTAACGAGATCAAAATTAATGTGTTCCCGGAAGGAAATAAACGACGTTCAATTTAGCACGCATTGCGCATTTTACAAATAAAGTGCTTTGTGGAGGCTTATTATAATTAGCAAATAAAGAATTCTTATTACACGTCTTCTTTTAAGAGGCACGCGAGGAAGTGACGAGAGTGCGAAAAGAAGGCAGAAGAAACACGAGACGAAGGCCAGTATTTCTATCACTTCCTCTGCATGTGCTTTATAGGCGCGCGTTCAGTTAAGGCTATTTAGGTTTCATTTTCATCACTCAACTCATCGATAAATGCTCTTTTGTCTTGAGAAAATCCGAAAATGAAGTATTTAGTAAACTGAGCTTGGAAGTGTGAAGTTGCTTCATATTTTTGCTGACAACATGATAATATTCAATGCTTCTTGCAAAAAGATGCACAAGAAAACGCAACGACAAGGATGAATAGTAGATGAACTTTCTTGTTTGTATCATATATATTAGAATTAATTAAGTCTACAAATTCACCTTTACTCTCTTAGGAAATGGATTTTTGTTTTCAGTCACGTTCATATTCTCTTACAAAGCGCGCTCGGAGTCACTGTGCGCGAAATTATATTACAATTTGCGTCAGTGAGGCCGTCTAAAAGGAGCTCAGTCGCGGTAGTTTGAGTTATTTTAACGACGTACAAAATTACCTTTGAATTGAAAGAAAACCTGAAAATAGTAGTTTATTAGGATAATAAAACACCAAAGGGATAATCATAAACAATAAAGGAACGAGGATGGTAAAAGATGGAGAAGATTAACACGGATTACAACCGCGATAAACTTGAAAAATTTAGGCTCAACTTTTCAAGGTGCGCAAACTGTGATGTAGCTCCTTTAACATCCAAACCTACATATGGGTTTTGAAAAGAGTAAAATTTTATCTTGGTGCACGAAGTGAAAACGCGGCATTTGAAAGATTTTGGCAATATATTCCTCACTCTCACGTTACATCGTCCTGTCTATCAGAGAATAGCAATTCACACCATTGAGGGCGTTACAAGATCACTGTTAATATCTGTACGGCTCGCATGCAGAAAACTCGGGAAGGTTTTTTTGAGCAGTTCCCTGATAAAATAAAATAAGAAAAAACACCTTCCGCTTCGTGAGTGAAACAGTTCACGATTCATGTAGACACATTTGACTCGTCAAAAATTTTAACGCATAGGCAGTAAGAAGCGAATTATTTTTAACTCAATACAGAATTACGAGAAGTATTGAAAATTTACGCTATTAAGATAAGTGTGAAAAAAAATTTTGTCAACTGTGAATCAAGAAGTACATAATATATTGAAAGACGGTTTCTGTCTTCTTTAGGGGCTCGCAGTCTCCTTAAAATAGAGAAGATTTTGTTACCACTTTCATTGCCTTTGAGTAGCTTCATCTACAACAATTAGAAAAATAAATGAGCATTTTTTCCTACCTGTATTCAGGATTCTCTTTACTCTTAAGGGACTTAGAAGTCGCGTGCAAATGTCGTATGGTACCGCTGGGGGGAGTTATTTAATTCCCTCTGATCAAACTATCTCAAGAACTTAACAGCTGTAAAATAAACATCGTAACAACATTAATTATAATGGGGACGGCTTGGCTAGTTACTTAAGAATATTATCCTCACGAATCAAGGAAATTAAGAGACATGCAAATAAAAGTATTTCCTATCTCCCTTCCGAAACAAATAAAACTAATGGGTCTTTAAACGCTCTTAATTAGCAATGCGTTTCAAAATCCAAATCGCGCTAAGATCATTATTCCTTTTTCTCGCTTTCCTCTTGCAAAATACAGCTGGGAAAAAACATTATGTCCAGTCAATTTAAGGGCATAGCTTGAAGAGCCGTTTTGCAAAGGCTTTACCGTTAGTTTTCTCGTCTGTTTTGAAACCTCCATGATTTATTTAATTTGCTGACACCTGGGCTTTACCAGCCGCTTTTTGCGACGTGGAGCTGTATTATGGCTTTAAGGAAACCAGTAACCGATCATTTGCCAACGTAAAACCATAAATATAATAAAGAGATAGCAATGAACCATAAATCAAGGACTCGGGGTAATTCAGATTAAGAAAGACTGAGATCGATTACAGCAATGAACATTGAAATATTTCACGTAGATTCTGCAAGACCGCGCTACCTGTCGCGTATCACGCGCACAAATGACCCATATTTTTAAGCGTAGATAATGAGGTGGCTAGTTAGCGGTTACCATTTAGTTTTTGGCGGTTAGTGGGCAGTGATACTTGATTAGGAGTTTATTAGAGGTTTACTAATGATGTCCTCTGTTTGGACTATGTTTAATTCTTAAAATGGTTTTGGTCACGGCCTTGATAAATCCGCCCTGTCGTGGGAGCCATTTTACCTTCGTGGGCTTCGCAAATAGTCAGTGAGGAACCCATTTATTATTTTAATTGAGTCTTACGGCAATTGCACAAAATGACATTAACGTAAATACTGCATTTCTTTAAAATCTGAATATGAATTCACAAAGAGCGCATTCCATAATTATTAGCAATTGAGGCGAACATTTTATTCATTTGTTAAAATTTTATGAGAATTCCCTATATTCTTACCAAAAATATTAATAATAGTTCTCCCATTTACACAATGCAGGATGTGTTTGTTAAAATATTATTTTCGTCAAAATACTCTTTTCGTCTCTCCTGACCGGCGTCACTCTTTGATGTTTCTACAATTTAAAGACAGTATAGGCCATATTGCGGTTTTAGCAGCTGTATTAGTTTAGCCAGACAAGCGCCCCAGGTACTACTTTGCTAGTAATATGAGAAGATAACGGATCCAGAGAAGGTCAAAAGCGAAGATAGGGGAGACGAAAGTAAAGAGGGCAGGTGGTTGGAGGCGTGGAGTAAAGGAAGGCTCTTTGGGTGCAACAAAATGATCTCGGCACTTCAAGGCTTATAATGGGACCCATAATGGAGGGGATGGGGAACGTCTTTTAATTAGGAAGTTTATATCAAATTTCTTTACAAAATCACTTTTCATATTTATTGGAGTTAAGTCATACCAATTTAAAACCCATTAGTAGTGTCATGATGGGCTACTGACTTACAATTTAGATTAGCTCTTTGCTATTGGTTTTTAGAAGAAATTCGTAATTGTCGTTGCATGAGACTAGTATAATATCGTTTCTTGACTGCAGCGTCACACTATTCACACTTTGTCCGCTTAATCCCAACTTACCTTGTTGTTCTCTGGATTTGTCACAAGGACGTAACACGTCTACATTTTTTGGTTTTTAGAGCAGTGCGTACTTGGCACTTGTACACAGTAGCTTGCAGATATGTTACGAAAATGGAACTGTTTAAGGGGAGAAAAAAAAGGGGCTTTTAGTATGGCCCAGATCTTCAGAAAAACACCTATTAAGGAGAATCCCTCTGTTGTTAGTGCGCAAACGTTCTTTGCATTCCGGAAGGTCCCGCGAGAAACCCAGGCTTTTCCGTGATCTCACAAAATTACGGGTTTAGCAATAGGAAACATGCTCTTTTAACTGAATTCGAAATGCTGTTAATCTTTAGGCTAAAACATTGCCGGAAACTACCTCAGAGTTTCCCGACTGGAACCTTTCTTAAGTTTTAAAGGTTGCTGTAATAATATATACGTATTTTTATTGAGAATTTTTTTGGGTTTAAAATACACATCAGATAGATTTGATTTCATTGAAGGCAGGGGTGGGGGTGGGGTGGGGGTAGGAATTGTCTGCATTTATGATAAAGTAGTGACGATGTCAGTCATATAAAACAGGAGTAAAAAAGCAACTTGAAAAGCTGTTTTAATTAGTTTACCAGGTTAAAAGTATTTTTAGATTATCACAGCCATTTTATTGCATATTCCTATTTTTTTTCTTTTTTCATCTTAGTGGTTTTAAATTATCTCTCCTCGATTTTGTGTAGTAGTTCAATCCTGAAAAAAAAAAAAAAAAAAAACAANAAAAAAAAAAAAAAAAGAAACAAGGACTCAGCTAAATTACTGTGAACAGTTTGCAAATCATATATGGGACAAAACAAGTATATACTGCACTTAACTGAAGAAAATGAAAACTCATTGGTACTCTCGGATGGTTGGAGCACGTGCTGTAACACATGCTAATTCTGTCGCGTTAGAATATATAATCAGGGCAGTTTTAGATATACATGTACGTAAGGCCATATTATTCCCATCAGTCAATTTCTCCAGACAACATCAAGGCTTTTTCGTGACTATGTTCTGAAATTTCTCCAAGTTTGTTGCTTGAGGTTCAATATGAACACTTTGATTGGGCTTAACATTTTCATTGATTAGATGTGAGTTTTTTTTTTCTTCAGACCATTGTTTCAGGCCTAGGGCTTCCTGATACATCTGCAAAACTATTACGTACATAACAAAATGGCTTGCAATGAAAGTAACAGTACGATGAAGGATGAAGAGCAAATACTACTTAGTAGTATTAGTACTGAAAAGCCCCCTTGGGGAGTGCTAATAAAATTTGCATTGTATATTATTTTAACTCTGTAGAGTAGTAGATTTTTTTTACATAGACACTTCCGTCGTTCTTACCGTCCTTCCATTGCCACAGTATCTCAGTTGACAGTATGGTGCAGGGGAAAGATAATAGACATAAAACACTCCACAGTTTCGGACTTTCGCCCCAATTGATTCGTAGCAGCAATTTCGGCTCTGATGAAAGCAAACCCTTCTGGAAACGATCCCTTCTTGAACAGAAGGAAGCTCTCCGTTCAGCCAACCCGGTACAATGGTTCCGCACTGGAAGCGTCGTGGACAGGAGTTCGCCATGGCATTGCCTGCTTTACCCATGAATCTGTACCATGCGGCCTTAAGGCTGACGTCACAGGCTGCAGAGGAGGTGTAGGATTGGTGAACAGAACGATCCTCTGATTGAAGAGCTTTGTATTCGTTGCATTCTGGGAATGAATTGAGTTAACAGAGATAATGTAGTTGTCAGCATTTATTTGGAATAATCTCGTGATTCCTTGAACAAAATGTGTCTGAAATACGCACCTAGGAGAAAGTCTGCGCAGGACGAAACTTTCGCTCGCGGTCATATTCGTTGCTCGAAGACGAAGACAACATTATTAAATGAGTTAAAGAAATAATTTTAAGGAGAAAAAAAGGCTCTAGCAGACGCGCGTAGCATACCAAACATGTTGCATCGTTGTATCGTGTAGTAAGATGCTGTGAGGAGAAGGATCAAGATCTTGTTAAACAGGGTGGCGAAATGAGTGCCATTCTCATGCCAGAACCAAAGTGTTGCACTATGTTGTGTTGAATGATGTGTGCTTTTGGTTTGGATTTAAATCAGTTGACATGGAGAACACAGTACACCTCAATGGCTTAAGCATCAGAACGTGACGGAATATAAATATTGTTAAGCCTCGAAGGAAATAAAATAAGGCATTTCAAATTCACGCTAAAAAGACAAATCATGCTCGGCTTATCGTTCTGATCCCCTCTGACTTTCGAATTCTATCATACTCTTGAGCACGTAAATTCTAGCTCTTTGCTATAAGATATGTTGTAAGCCTCCTTTTTGGTCAATTATGAAAAGGACTGGACCTAATTGCCGCCAATTATTCCCAAGCCCTAAAGCAAATCCAAGTCCATTCACCTTTAAAAACAAGTTTGTACACAAAGTTAGCTCGTGCCTTTCCCACTCCCAGTGTGCAATGTTTTGACTCTCCATCTTCATCGTAGGTTAAATGAGCCTGCGGTCCACTCCAGCATTCGCCATAAAATTGAAGGCCAAAGTACATATAGCCAGCCTCCTTTACTTCCTTGGCGCATGCTCTTATGGTCCTATTTAAGTTCTTCCAGTCAATCTCAGATGGCCGGCGGTAGTTTTTAACAAGAACTGGTAAGGGCCTGGGTTTCGCCATGGTGTCCTTGAAACAACCGACTCTCTCATAAATGATATCTGGTTACAAAGCAGAGAAAAGAATGGTTTAAAAGGCATGAATGACTGAAATTTGAATTACTGAGCTGCTAAACTTGAATTATTGAGCTGCTAAACTCAAGTCTATTACTTGCCACCGTTCTTCTCCGGTTATTCATGTCATAAATATAACAAAAAAAAGCAAAAACAGGAGGAAAACACTACAATAATCATTTGGGATAGACGAAGGAAAGAGATAGAGATAGACGAAGGGAATTATAGGAAGACGAAAAAAGAAATGAATTTGTATGACAACAAGTGAGTAGGTTAGCCCATAAGTGACAAAAACAACTTAGCAAATCACGTGTTTTCAGTTAATTGGGAAAAGGTAACTCAAATATTTAGCATGATCATAGAAAATCATATGTTAGTAAGTATCTAAGCCACTAGCATTCTTTTGCAAATGCCGTTTTCTCATTGGTCACGCTACTCACTCCCTTTTCTAGTATAGATAGCGAGTAGCCTGACGGTGTGCTTTTAACAAAATGGCGGCCGCTTCGTTAGATTATCCGTTCGATCAATCGGGGTTTAATTTTTAGCTTCGCAATTATGTTTCAAAAAAAACGTGTTACAAGATTTGGTTTATACTAGACCATCGTATACAAAAAAAAAAAAAAAAACCTTTTAACAGTTAGCTATTTCTCATAATGTAATAAAGAAGCCCATTTCATATAAGAAAAAACTTATCAACATAGTCTAATATATGTAATTGTTGGAATTGCAATAACAAAATCACAAACTCCCGTATTGCTGAATTATACATTTTCCGGATTTATAGTAGCGATATATCGATCTTCTGAAACAAAGGATAGAATTCACATTTCGGAGAAATTCAAAATTCACGGTCTATATATTTATTTTGTATACACAAGCTTATTTATTCAATTGTTTCGTCTAAACGGGTCTTATCGCTAAATAGGGTTACGCTTTTTTGTTGGGGGTGAACATATATTCTCATCAAAGGATTAGTTTTTGTTGTTTTTTTTTTCACGAACAGTAATAAATACTTCTTTTACCTTCGCTGTCATCGAATGAACCTAGATCTGTATTCTTCGCTGACGGAATCATACTCAGAAACAAAACAAGCCGAAGTGAGACAAACCAAGTAGCCATCACAATCAGTCCTAATCGAAGAAATCCGATGTTATGAGTCAAAGTCTTCCTGAGCTTCACCTTTTAAATCTTGCTTTGTTAAATTCATTAGTTCACCAACGCGTTCAACAAACAAACCTTCACAATACTAGCTGGCTAACATTCGAGCTAGTTGACATTGTCTGAAGAAAGGGAGCTTACACAGAGAAAACTTGAAATTGTCAATCAAGAGTCAATACGGAGACTGCTAATAACCTGGCTACTGTAAGTCCACTATTTGAAGATACATCAAACATGCAGCCGCTGATATCGATATCATGTCCCTTTGTTCGTTCAAATTTTGTCGGAAAGAGTATGTTTTCAGTATTTTTATGAGTTCCGTGTACAGCAACGTTCTTATCGCTTCTGTTGCGGTTTTTTTCTATAATTTTCAAAGAAACTTGGCGTTCTTATGAGGATAGATTGCTCAAAACATACCCCGCATTGCGTTTCTTTGAACACTTTTGTAAATATGTCAAAGAAGTTGAAACAGTGTCCCCGATTGTGTACGTTGAAGTCATTTCAATGGATTCCAGCTACAGGTGTAAAAGCAAACTTTATTAAAACATCAATATCAATTATTGTTAACCGGACACAGTTTTTTGTCCCTTGTCACCGAAAGATTTCTCATGATCTGACAAGACACTCTCTGTCGTAACCTTAATACGAAGTCGCTCTCTTATTACAGCAGAAAAATCTTTTCTACATGCCAATTCTACACTTCAAAACATAATAAATATTTCTTTCGAGTTCGTTTAGCTTGGAACAGGATACAATTATTTTTCGAGTGAAGAAACTAGAACACTTCAAAGAGTTAGTATCAGGCTTTTGATCGAAGAGGCGGCTTCTTCCGGGCTTTAATTGAAGCAACACATCGTGTTAGCTATAAGAGACACTATGTTCAACTTTTTTTTTTACTTTTAGTTTTATATTACAGCTGATCGGATAAGCTTTATTTATAGTTGAACACGCGCTCGCCCTCCATTATGTGTTTTTGCTGTTGAGTTTTCACGCGAAGGAAGTTTGGTTCACCATCGGAGACTTTCTGTGCACACGGTGCCATTGTCAATACGTTGTTAAGATTTGTTCGGGGACTTGAAAACTCGCAGCTTTATCATTTTAAAATATTATCAATGTAATCTCTTGATATTATAGAATCTCTTTATATTTTAATCCATTTTTAATGCCAGTCTACCTGTAAAACAAATTTCCCTAAATTACTAGTTTAGAAACAAAACTCGTTTCATGTATAATGCCATCATGATCATGATCAAAGGATGAAACTTTAATTTACATACGATAAAAATATTAAGTGTTCCGCTGATGAACCGTCGTACCATACACCATTCCGTTATATTTAGCATCATATCATACTAACTCCTGTTTAAAGGGCAAATGTACCTAGTCTTTAATTATTTCTGAACCTCAAAAACTGTTATCATGAACTCCTTTCAAAGAAAAATTATATTCCAGAGCACTCGTTCAAAATATTTTGTTCCGATTCTCTCACTCTCTATACTTTCGTTTGTTCTCTCTCTCAGTTTTCTGTTCAATGTAAGCGGTAACATTATCTAATTAAGATATTTATTAACTGGTTTTAAAATAACAACATTTGGGAGTGTCCCTGCTTTATTGAGGAAAAGAAGAATTCCGTCCCGTCGTGTTAAATAGGCAAATTTATCAATGTTGCCTCCATGTATGCATCAGTAAAATTAAATCCCCCATTAAAAAAACAAAACAAAAAAAGATGGCGGTTGTTCATTTTACCACAATACCATGCAAACCGTACACAGCCCATAAAGTACAAGGAAAGCCACATTTTGGCAATATTGCTACCTTCTGACCCAGAAATTGTCTCAAGGGTAGCGATTTCTTTTCTGAACCTTAACAGGTAACTTGTCAGCAAGCGCTACCGTATAAACAATTTTATTGACAACAACAAATGTGCCTGGCATTGTGAACTAATTTTTCAAGTTGCCTGAATTCACGGGCAATCAGGGTTAGTTAGATTAGGTTAGTTTACATAGTTTTGCTGTTATAGGTTTTTATTGTTTTTTTTACAATGTGTAGTATTGATGTACGCTGATGTTTACTGATTTGTTTCAGTTTAAGTACCAAATAAACAAAAATCGGAGTCGTAAGCAGAGTCATAAGCTCGACAGCATTTCCATTTTTTCTGATTCCGTTTACCACTCTATCAGTCATGATCCAGTAAAAACTAGGCCGTATCCTGATTGCTGCTAACCATTTGTACAATTGTCACTCAAGGTAAAATATAAGAATTTCAATTCTGATTGTTTTTTTTTTTATTTTTTATTTTTTTTTATTGACCATCATATTGAGTAGTGGTCATCCCTGGAGAGACATTGTAACTCCATACTTCCCCTCTGAGCGAAATCCAGACAGTTACTTCTTCCAATGTCTGGAATTAAGTTTTTAATGTAAGTTACGGTAAATTTAATCCAAATAGACTTATTATGGCCTAATCCTAGCTCATATTTTCCCCTTCAGTTTAACTTCTATTACATGTTGCAAGTGGACTCGCAGGCCACACATGTACGCATTGCGGACCTATCTTTTCATTTGAAAAAGATTTAAGAGGCTGTCCGCGTAAGAATGGATCAGGCAAAATTTTGGACCGTCACCGATTGGCCTCATTTTTGCTCATAGATGACGTAACATCCATGAACTTAGAAGGCAGTCGGATGGCGCTCGCTCACTCACTTACTCACTCACTCACTCACTCACTCAGTCACTCAGTCACTCACTCACTCATCCCATTCTGATAAACTTATTCATTAAAACCGGATTAAATAGTTTTCTCCCATCCCTCACCTGCTAAGTATGATTTTTGTCCTAGACACTTCGTCCTGTACCTTTGGCAGGTTTTAGGTGGGGGGACTAGAAAGGGAAATTTTTGTCCCATAACATGGAGTTTACACATGGCGGTTATAATTAACGCAGCACGAAGATGGGTTTTCGGTTCAATCCGTGGAATTGTAAAATGGAAAGTTGTGAAGCTAGACAACAGTAGCTGCGAGAAATGGACATGGGAAGACTAGAAGGACGTACTATACCAATTTTGTGTGGCAGCATAGCGTAATGCGGCGTTCGTTCAATTTTAACGAGAAGACCTTCGTGGAGCGGTAAAATGGAAGTTATCAAGCTAAGGAACATTAGCTTTGGCAATGGACATTGAAATACTGAAAGCTACGATTCTCGCTTCGAAATCTTTAAAGCTACGATCCTAAAAAGTGACGATGTCACGACCGAGGACGGATCGTTTTTAAGTCTTTTAAAATGTCAGCTGGAGGAAGAAACAATGCAACGGGTAATGAATGCATTTGCAAAAATAGCTTTTAACTCTTTGGTATGTTACGCTTCGCACATTCCTGAGTTCGCAGGAGGTATTTAAAAAAAAATCATAATTCCGTCAAACGTTGACAGAATATAATTGTTAAACCTTTAAAATATCGAAGAAAGGCAAAACTTTTTCATGTAAAACATTTAGCCTGTTGGAATAAAAAAATCGTGTTTTGGCAGCGTCCGATATTTATAGCTAAATGTCAGAGTCTCCCAAGGCAAATTAGCCTGTTTCGAGGTCACCTTGAAAACCGTCTCGCAAAAAAATGAAAAAAATCGAATTAATCCAAATCAGTGTGATATTTGTAGACTGGATGTAATGGTTGACTTTCACTGAACAAATGAGGCCAATCGGTAAAGGTCCAAAATTTGCTTTAGCCCTCTTACGCGGACAGTCTCTTAAATTTGATTTAAATGTGCACTGCATGAATACAAAAAAGCATTAAACACCGTTTCTTCCATATTTCCGGTCATTTGTTCTCAACTTCTGATAGCTCGAACTCCTATAACTAGAATCTTTTTTAATTTCCCTTGGAGAAACGAGCGATCGGGAGTCGATAAGGCCGGTCTTATAGAGCACATTCTGCTCCTTTATTCTCCAAATTAGGAATTTTAGACATTTATCAAATCAACACGTTTCAAATAGCTAAATTTATGTACCCATGATTATTATAACAACCCGTTGCCTCCATTGTTTTTCAACTTGTTTTTTTACAAACTGTCAAATTCATGCCATAGCACCAGAACAGCCAATGATTATCGCGTGCATCATTGCCAGACTAATCTAAAAAAATTCACAATTCTTTACCAAGGTCCAAAGATCTGGAATTCCCTTCCTGTTACAATCACTTCATTGTCAAGTTTTCCCA